AGTCCCAGTCCAGCTGGCCTTGGTGAGCTCCCATTAGATCAGTCCCATTATCTCAGTGGGTGGACATACCCCTCGTGATCCTGACTTCCTTCATATTCTCCCTCCTTCTGCTCCTCATTTGGACCTTGGGAGCTAAGTCCAGTGCTCCAATGTATGTCTCTGTCTCTATCTCCATCGATTGCCAGATGAGGGTTCTATGGTGATATGCAAGATATTCATCAGTGTGGCTATGGGCTAAGGCCAGTTCAGGCACCCTCTCCTCTGCTGCCCAACGAACAATCTGGGGACCTCTCCTTGGACCTGGGAACCCCTCTAGAGTCAAGTCTCTTACCAACCCTAAAATGGCTCCCTTTATTAAGATATTTACTTCCCTGCTCCCATATCCACCCTTCCTCCATCCCACCCATCTCATTCCCCCAAGCTCTCCCGAATCCTCCCCTTTTCCTTTCTCTCTACCCATCTCCCCTTACATCCACCCCCCACACTCCCATTCACCCAAGTTTTGCCTGGCAATCTTGTCTACTTCCAATATCCAGGAGGATAACTATATGATTTTCTTTGGGTTCACCTTCTTAGCTTCTCTAGGATCACGAATTGTAGGCTCAATGTCCTTTAATTATGGCTAGAATCCACTTATGAGTGACTACATGCCATATTCCTCTTTTTGGGTCTGGGTTACCTCATTCAGCAGAACATTTTCTATTTCCATCCATTTGCATGCAAAATTCAAGATGTCATTGTTTTTTACTGCTGAGTAAATCTCTAACGTGTGTATGTTCCACACCTTCTTTAACCATTCTTCCATTGAGGGGCACCTAGGTTGTTTCCAGGTTCTGGCTATTACAAATAGTGCTGCTATGAACATAGTTGAACAAATGCTTTTGTAGTATGATAGGGCATCTCTTGGGTGTATTTCCAAGAGTGGAATTGCTGGGTCCTGAGGGAGGTTGACTCCCACATTCCTGAGAAACCTCCACACTGATTTCCAAAGTGGTTGCACAAGTTTGCATTCCCACCAACAATGGATGAATGTTCCCCTCACTCCACATCCTCTCCAGTATAGGCTATCATTGGTCTTTTTGATTTTAGCTATTCTGATAGGTATAAGATGGTATCTCAGAGTTGTTTTGATTTGCATTTCCCTGATCGCTAAGGAGGTAGAGCATGAGACTTTAAGTGTCGTTTGGCCATTCGAACTTCTTCTGTTGAGAATTCTCTATTCAGTTCAGTACCCCAAGTTATGTTTAGTGGTGCATCATTAAAAGACTAGATTCTGAAGAAGGAGTTAGAAAGTCAGCAGAATTCCCTGAAGGAATCCTTACACTTAAAAGTAATTTTTAAAGGGTATGTTTCTGTTAATAAAGATCGGGAAAGGGCTGTTCCATTTCCAGACACTCACAGCTGGGTATGAAAGCTGCACAGCATTGTTCTTATTAAGGCTTCTAAAAAAGTTTGGGCTAAAAGCAAATTGTTCACTTACCCTGTCTTTCCCTTCTAATGCTCCTATTTGGGTTGAATTTGGTTTGAATTTGAATATTGTTAGAAACATACAGAGTTAACCTACTTGTTATGTATGTAATATTTGCAGCATTACTTAATTTTGTTATATACTCTTTTATCATTTTAATGATTCTTGTATAAATTTAAATTATACAGGAAGTCTAAACCTTTCGGTAAATTGATGTGACTCATTTTTAATTTACCAATATTTATATTTAATTTTTTATGATTGTATGAAGTGATGGTAAAGCAGGCACATATGGAAATCAGAGAAGCTTGTATATGGTTTACATATACATAATCGCTTTACTAGTGAAATATGTTGTTCCTGGGACATTAAATTGTAAATAGGAAAAAATATTGTTTTCAGGCATATTTAACAGTGAAATATTTGTTTTATTCATTTATCTATCTATTTGATGAGATTGATTTTGAATTGTAAAGTTATTTTTCATTGTAGCATATTTATATTGTTAACTTACACAAGAATATTATATATTACCTATATCAATGATTATATAAATCATATAGCAAATGTGATTCTCCTTAGGACTAAAGAGATCTCAGTAAAATGCTTCTTATGTAAGGATCAGAACCTGAGTTCTAGTCCTCAGCACCCATACACAAACTAGTGTGGTGGGGTGTGTCTGTAATCTGAGCACCTGAAGCCAGGAACAGGGTCCCGGCCAGACGCTTCCTGGTCAGCCAGCTTGTATGAATAAGTGAACAACAGGTTTAATGAGAAACTCCGTCTCAAGACATATTCAAACATGCAGGATGGAATCTCTAATCAGTTCTGTTATTGACGAGGTTCATGACCTTGAATTCAGTTACTTCTAGTCATTTTCTCATCTGTAAAATGAAAGTTTCAACTTACTTTTTTTCAAACTTTGAAACATTTATAATTTAGAGATTCAAGAAAGAAATAATATCCAGGTCTGCAAAGAATCTGGAAGTGTATAGACTCACCATCATTTAGGACTTGCATTGTCTCCCAGCATTGACTAAGCATGAGAAAACAAACTGTTAGAGAAGGGTGTTCAAACCTCTGCGTGAAACAGCTCTAGTCAGAAGTGGACAGTTTCTTTCCAAGAGAGCCACCATGTCTTAAAACTCTCAGTCATTAGAACCCCTAAATAAGTATTGTCCACCTTGTAGTATTAGAACCCAACTACATTGTTTTCTTGATTTTATTTCATTTATAGAAATTTGATAATCTATTTTATGTTATTCATATAGCATGAGTTTTAATTTCTATTGATTTTGTTTTTTTGCTGCATAAAATACATCATATTAATCATGTAAGAGGTGAAAGGAATGTGACAGAAGGAGAAGGCACTCAGTGGGGTTGAAGGCGAATTGTGCTTTCGAGAAAATGATGTATTGTAACAGGTACAATGACATGTTCCTTCCAAATATCTTTGGCCTGGAAATTATAATAATTCCATATAGATTCTCTGTCCGTGACTGCTCTCTGCATGGCCTGTGCCCATCAGATCTTGTAAGACTTGTGGGATGGGCATACCTTTTTTTAGATATAAGTGATCTGTGCCATGGAAGCAACAAACAGTGTGAACTTGGATTAATCAATTATATAGCAAAAGTACAGTATATGAATTGTTATATATTAAAACTTCTTTTCCAGAAACAGGTTTGTAGTGTTTGACAGGTCTGCTGGTTTTTAACGTCCGTTCCCGAACTCACTGTGCTCCTGTCATCTTGCTAGTACTGTCCACATCTCTTCGATTCTCCACAGCAGCAGTCTATATGATGCAGATAGGAGATGGAAATGAAGAACTCACCTAAGGTCACACACTTAGACTGTGACTGGAGTGCATATTGAATATAAGCCATCTTAGCTATCATGTGTGACTTAGCCAAGCATGGTAGATACTTCTTATGCTACCAGAGCAGTACAAGCTGCAGAACACGTGCATAGTTTCCAGTTCATCTGCCAGTGAAATTCTTTAAAAATATTTTTCTGCTGAGCGTGGTGTGTGCCTTTAATCCCAGCACTTGGAAGGCAGAGCCAGGTGGATCTCTTTGAGTTTGAGGCCAGCCTGGTCTACAAGAGCTAGTTCCAGGACAGTCTCCAAAGCTACAGAGAAAACCTGTCTCGAAGAACAACAACAAAATTGCTATATTAATTTCAAAAGAAACTTAATAATTACAGGTAAAGTAGCTTCTGGGTAAAACATGATCTTTGATATAAAACATTACAGTCTTTTATCTTGACATATTATCTCTGAAGACAAGTTACAGTACTTATTCTGGCATTTAGACTTAAAATATTAGATGATATTTAGTATTAAAGGGAATATCAGGATTAACATTGGGTCTTCCCACAGCTAATATTCAACTTGGATTGAATTGGAGTTTTAAATGGATTTCCTTGATATGTTATTTATCCATATTCAAAGGACTGTCATAAGTAATTATCGAATTCTTTTCAGTTAACTGTTAGTTGCCATTATTTTGCGCATAGTTGAGAGTTTTATAGACTTACATTATGAATGGTTACTTCCGCTAGAATGTATTTTTCCAGTACTGCTAAATGTTCAAAGTAGCCACCAGATTTCCAGTGAAGGGAAAGCCCTTCACATGGAGACCAAAGTACTGAAAAATTTAGGACAGGGTTTCCTCTTTGGCCAGAATCCAGCTCTTGCTATAGCTTCCCATATGTTTATAAGTACAGCATTTCTCTTAGCCTTTTTCCCCAGTATATTCCTTTCCTTGTAGGAGTTTTGTTTTCACTTTCTTTGTCTCTGGTGAGTTTGGCTTGGTAGCTCTCCTCAGTACTGCTTTATTTCTCCGTGTGCCTCTTTTCACTTTCTTATTTCTCAGTGGAACTTAGAAGCATTAAACACATCCTTCTAATAGTTAAATGAAAAATGAACCTTTTATGATGTGTAACTATTTAGCAGTTTTATGTCACTATACAGCTCTAAATATGTGAAGAAACGGTAAACTCCTGTTTCTACCATTGTTAAAAAAATAACATGACTTCTAACCTCTAAGCCCTTAAGATTTCTCTTCCCTCAAAATCAAGTCAGAAAGTTTGCAAATAATGTTAGCAATGCATTTTTAATAGTCTTTTTCCAAGGAAGCCAGTGGAGGGATGAGATGTAGTTGCATGTTTCCTCAGGCATTGTAAATTGCCATTCTCAAGGATGTAAGCAGCACACTGCTATTTTTAAGTATAGTAATTGATCAAATACATTTTCCTTTATGTTTAAGCCATTCTTTTATACAGTAGATTTATTTTGATAACCATAACTATTACCAACAACACAAGAAGAGGCAATTCAGTGTTCAAAAGATAAAATATTCACTTGTAATCAGTGAGAACCTGCCCAAGACCATGGTATTTAGAGTGAGGATTTCTGTCTCTTTGTTATTTGAATCTACTGTGGTGTTATTAGCATGTTTCATAGGACATAGTGCAGAGCTGCTCTGATCTTTAAATGTTAATGCTGTTTTCTTATCACTTTACTGTGTAGATACCCTTCATGAGACCCAACTCTGCCACAGCTCATCCTCGGAGGCAGTCCCGGAAACCTCTTTTATAAGTGTGATTTAAAAAATGTGGATAAAACTCTCAATAGAGCGTATAACTAAAGGAGAACAGTTATCTTGTCCTTCCCATAAACTTATCACTGTAAAAAAGTGCTTTTGCTTGTCAGGTTTGGATAGAATGTAATTGATTCATCTGTTATATGGGTAGACAGGCAGTTAATTTGCCTGTGGATTTTTTTCTTTTCCTTTTTTCTATTTTCTTCTTTCTCCCCTTCTCTTTTTTCTTTTCTTTCCTATTTCTTTTTTTTGTAACAATACTCAGAAACAGTTGGTGTACACAATATTAAAAACTACAGTGGGTAATGTCTTGTCAAAATTGTTTTAGTGGGTAAATGTCTTTCCCCCTTGTTTCTTTGGCACACGACGATACAGTATTTGGACTCAATGAAGACTGAAGGAAGCCAGTGGGACTTACATGCTCTGTGCTTCCCTGTGCTTGAACAATTACCTCCGTTATTTGTTTGTAAAAGGACAATGCTTGCCACTCATCTGCAAGTCTGTATCAACTTATTTGCTTCATGTATTCACACATGAAAGAAATTCTGCAGTGAGAACAACTCTAGATTCAAATTTAATATTATTCCTATTTGTGATATTCAGCAAAAGTGAGAGACTGGTGAAGAGTACAACTTTCCACTGTTGAGTAGTACAAAAGCACTTGCTATTAGCATGGACGTTTTATAATTAGAACTTAAGCTCAAGTAAACGTACCATCTGTGTTAGTCTGTAGGTACTCTTCTCAGAAGTTATCAGATTCATTCCTTATTGTTTTATTTGATACAAACTCTGTGTGCTCCATATAATTTTTAATTTTTTGAACTCAAATGTGAAGCTGGGAAATGAGGGAGATACAGAGCTTTTGAGTATACAACCCGCCTGCTGAGAGATCTTCACAGCACCTGTCTCCTCAGAGGTTTACTGAGCTTACCTTTGATCTTCACGCTTTACTGGCCCAGTTCTCAGTCAACGGCAGAAATACTTTGAATATTGTACCACTAAATCTTGAACTGATTTAGAAGAGACTGCTGAAGTTGAAATGCACATACACATGTAAATTGTCAAATTGTCTCTTGGAATTCCATTGTTTATCATTGTGGGTTTGGATCTTTCCAGATTTAGGGGCTTTTGGAATAGTTTAAACTGTAGGAATAGAATAGACAATGCTGTAGCTAGCCAATGTATGTGTAATTGTAAAATCGGTGTCTCTAGTAATCTGTAGTAATAGGAACCATATGATTGGATAAAATGTTTATTGCACATGTAGGAAATAATATATAAATATGCTATTAATTTATTGTTAGATCTTATGGCACTGGAGAAAATATCCATAATCATTAGGAAAAGCAATATGGTTTCTTTAAGTATAAGAAAGAACCAACTGTCATTACTTAATTTATGGAAAAGTTGATGAACTCCAGCAAATTTTATAAAAAATGACAGTGGCAGATTATCATTTTTCAAATGAACTGTGCTTTAGGCCAACTGTCTTTTAGTATAAGGCAAGAAAACGTTATTGGATTTTTTACATTTAGCATTTTCCCCCCTCTTATGGGTTTCTGGTTTTTTTTCCTGAGAAATCATAGGTAGTATAGTTACAATGACAGTGTTAATTGCAAGCTTTTTCACATTGGTTAAAATGTAAAAGGTCTAATTACCTTCTTCATATTTTAGTTTTCAGTGGTAGATTTTGGTCTTCCAAGTCTTGTAAACAACCCATGTTACATGTTTTTCACATGTTACAGATAGAAGTGGCACAGTTCCTACATGATAGATTCTTAAGAGTCTCCATCTTCTGAAAAGAATAGAATGAAATGTTTCCCTTAGTAAACAGTAGAAAGTTAACTTTTGCCCATTGCTATTAAAGTTGAAATTATTCTTTATCTAAGAAAATATTTCAAAGTGATTTATATCTTATAAATATGAATAAAAGGATAACAGCTCAGGTATTTGACAGTTATTTGCCACAGAATAGGAACTGGAAGAAGCATTGAAGTAGCAGGAAAGCTCTGGGAGAATACTTGCTTGGTAAAATGTGTATAAGCATGAGGACCAGTACTCGTGTGAACAGCCAGGTGTCAGGAGGCTCTCTGTGGCTTACTGATCAGACATTGTGCAGACTGGACAAGTATCAGGCAAATGAGAGACCCTAGCTCAAAACACATGGTTGACAATTCTGAAGCAGGAAGGCAAACCAGCACACACGCATGTGGGCACGCACACACACACACACGCACACACCAGGTTACCTACACAGTATTGGGAAGGAAATTAAATGCCTCTAAATACACAACGGATGATATGGTAGTGATGCATCAGAGTCACAGAAAGCATTAGTTGAGGCTTTGTTGGCTATCATCTTCTCATTGCCCTCCCGTTCCACCAGAACTCCTGTTCTCCCTGCCTCTCTGAAGTTTTTAATCCTGTAGTTTTCTGATACGATGCAAATATATGAATTTGTAACAGGTTCAAAATAATGTTGACTCAACTAGTCAGGGACATTACTTTGCCAATAATTAATGTAGTTATTTGTTTAAAATAGTCATATATTCAGTATTGATTAATAATGAGTATGGATGTCTTTAAGGGGCTCAGATATCTCAAAATATTTTTTTCCAGACAGTTTGTAGAAAAGTAATTTCTTCCCAAACACATAAGATGAAACTTTTTTTATTTTTAAAAATTCATTTAAATATTTATTTCACAAATAGAGCAGTACTGCATGCCCAAAATATCATTGACTTTTTGTTTTTTAGGATTATGTAGGATATGAAAATAATATTTAGCCTTAGCCTGTATTGAGATTTAAATTTAGATATTTATGCATCACTTATGTATCATTGTAGTTTGTGTTTCCTGAATGTTTATCCAATATTATATGTGACATAAAAATAGATGTCTGACAGAGAATATTTATTTTGTTGCCCTACTTTCTGGATTGTACATCCTATTTCTTAGTGAAACACTTTTTAAGCTCTCAAAGTTAAATAAACACACACATCATTGATACGTTTTACTTAACTCACGATATGGAAATATTTCACCAAAATCTGTTTAGGAATTCAGAAGGACTCTGTAATATATTAGAACATTAACAGTTTTCAAAATACTTTTAGCCTCTGAAATTATTTTTGGCTAGTGAAAACATATGGATAAATATTGACAAGATATATATGAAGGCAGAATTTATCCATATTTGGCGGAACCATTGCTTTGTAAATTTAGATAACAGTAAGGATTATAAAAAAAATCAGAGACTGGTTTTACAAGTGATTTTTTTTTTATTAAAAAAATGTAGGTTTCTTTCCTGTAGTGATCGCCCTAAGGTGTTGTTCAGCCCTGCCAGTGAGGTTGACTGCTATTCAGTACATAAGATGTAATGAAATTGAATGTTCACGCTGGGCTGGGTAAATAAAGTGAGGCCGACCCCTAGCCATTATCTCATTTACCTGATTTACATTGTAGATTCAGGATCTACACTATTGATTGGAGTATAATTAGTTAATTATGAACAGGGAATTACACAGTTATGTGGCGCTTGAACACAGCAGGTTATTGTGCTAAAATATTTCCAAGGGCATGACCAGATGTAGGTCAGTTTATTAAAGTACAAAGCAGACGTGTTTCAGGTATGGAAATGTCGAATCCTTCTCTCATGCTGTGAAGTGATACTTGGCCTTATTGTGTATTTTCATATGAATTACCTTGTTTCATGTTCTGTTTTTAGGTCTTATTGTTGTTGTTTTTTTAATTTTACTTTTAAAATTATAAGCTGGCTGTTGGCAGATATAGATAATTAATTGAATCCACTCTTTAAGTGGTCTTGAATTAGGCTTTTCCTAAATAGTTTCAATTTGTCTATAGTAACCTGTAATGAAAAATTTTAGTCTATCCTACCACCCCCTCTTTCACTGTTGTCTGTGAGAGAAATTCCCAGTAGCATTAATGAAATAGGTTCACGTGTTCCACATTGGTATGAAATTTGTGAAATTATTTAAAATATATTTTCTAGTCAATTTGTATAGAAAATGCTTGTATAGTGGCTTACACTAAAATTGTTAAATGTTATAAAGGATAAAATATTGTAGTTATAAGTCTTATACCATTGATAGAATATAAGAGTTTTGTGACAGTTCATATTATTTAAATTTTTTAAGGGTCCTCAGTTTATATTCAACCTAGTAAGACATTTAATTGAAAGAATTAGTCCCTGTTCACTGAAATAACCTATCATTCATTGTAGTCGCTAAATTTGTGTTTGAATTGCTAGTAAGGTTTTATTTAAGCAGTGTTAATATTCAAGACTAATTGATAGGAAAGTCAGAACTCCTCACCCCATCTGTTCTCTTTATACTCTTATTTCTAAGTGAAAAATGTAATGTTACGTAGTTTTATAGATAGTTCTTTATCCAGCATTGTATAGACTAGGAAGGAATGCTGACTTGTTTAGGAGAGGCTGTTTGTTCATTTCCCAGCCTCCCAGACTCCCAAAATAATCACACAGAAACTTTATTATTTGAATCACTGCTTGGCCAATCACTTAAGCATATTGCTAGCTAGCTCTTATATCTTTGGTTAACCCCTTTCTATTATTTTGTACTTTACTATGAGGGTTGTGGCCTACTGGTAAGGTTCCAGTTGGCAGCTTGCATCTTTCCCCTTTGGCGGCTGCATGGTGTCTCCTGACTTCGAGGTCTTTCTCCCAGCATTCAGTTTAGTTTTCACGGTCTAGCTCTACTCTGCCAAGCCATTAACCAAAAGCTGCTTCTTTATTCATTAACCAATAAAAACAACATACATAAGCCACTGAGTACTGTGGTTATTAAAGTAAAAAGTGTCTACAATGATCAACACCAGTGTGATCCTACAACAGTACATCTCTTTTAAAGTCTGAGCCACCGATTTTGTTTCTTTCAAAGGCCAGTTTATCATGTAGTCTTAGATTGTTTGCTTAGGGGATGTACTCACTTATTTCCTCTAGTTATTTTCAAGTAGTTACTTAGTGTGTGCCCCAAATGAACTTATTAATTGGAAATTAAGAAAGTTAAATAAATCCTTTAGGGCAGTGGTCCTTAACCTTCCTAATGCTGTGACCAGCTGTATTGTTTTCATGTTGTGGTGACCTTCAATCATAAAATTATTTTTGTTGCTACTTTATAACTGTATTTTGCTACTGTTAAGAGTCATAATGTAAATATCTGTGTTTTCCAGTGGTCTTAGAGGAACCCTGTAAGAGGGTCATTTGGTTACAGAAGGGGTCATGACCCACAGGCTGAGAACCACTGCTTTAGAGCTTTGTCTGACTTGCCTTTAGGTGCAAGAGAAAATAAATCAGTTACATACTTTTGCTTGTTTCCACATTGTCAATAGTCACTCAACACCCAACTTAATGCTTGTGTGGATCTTAGCACTTATAAAGATCAATCATTTTCTCTGCTTTGTCTAGGGTGCTATACTTAATCATTATGCTAAGTAAGTATTTTAATACAAATAGAGCTGTGTTTCTTTAGTCTCTATGTTTTGCTAAATCAGTGTGTAAAAGACTATATAGAGCTTCTCTGTCATTAGTGTCTATATATGAAATATGAATGTAGTATGTAGGAAGTTGTATTTCATAGGTACGTAAGTAAATAGTTTTTGTTTTACATTATAAATTGGCTTTGTTTCATTTCATTAAGCTGTAAATTTTAGGATACTCTGTAGTCTAATGTTCACAATATTTATTAGACACTTTAAACATACTTTAAACATCAGGTTTATATTTTATTTAAAGATATGTTCTTCATATGCTAGTTTTATATTCTCTTTTCATGTTTAAGGTATTGACTTCTTTTTTATTAGAATGTGCTATTGGTATAATAATGTTTTGTTACATACACATTTGTTTTGTTTAATAAAGTATGTTGTGTTATATCACAATACTTTCGTGAGTCATTAACTTCCTTTGAAAACTTATTTTTATTCATTTATTTTGACAAATTAAGTATGTATTACTGTATTGCTATAATTGAAATGTTTTCAAGTACTTAATAGAAGTAGAAACTAAGTAAAATTGATAAGTAACTGTTTTTACCCTATTATAGTTTTCAGGGTGTAACCACTATAGACTTAGTTTTTGAGCTTTAAAAATATTTGAATTTTCTGTGTAGCCAAAATTGTGGTAAAGATTTCATAGTGACATGCATGTGATGTATAGTCTATTATTTTAGTCTTCTATTTTCTGTGTTTTGAGAATTTTAATGATGTCTCTGAAATTTATCAATGGCCTTTTAGTTAATGCAAATTCTACTAGATCTAACCTCTGATGTTTAGGTTATAATTGTTACCAGTACCTAAAATTATGATTTTATTTTCAGTTTAACAGAATTAATGATTTTTTTCTATATGCAAATAACTTGCAAAATTCCTTTGGATATCTTATATTTATTATTTACTTGGCAAACCTGTTAATTTCAAATGGGGTGTTTCTCTCTGTCTTTTTCTTTCTCTCTCTTGGATTTTGGTGGTTGCTAAGGGTAGAGACTACCGTTTTATGCTATTTAAACTTGGAGTTGCAGCTTTTACTTCCTGGTGAGTAAGCAAGGACCTTAGAGAACTATCCTAACACTCCCAGTTGTCCACCATCATGAAAAAGACGTCCTGAAATACCTGGATGAAGGTATCAGGAAGAATTAGGTCATCTCAAAAGAGCAAATGCTTCACAGCATCTTCTGAAAGAGCTACCAATACCAGAACAGGTATTGGATCATTTAAATTTTTGAATGTATTTTTAGATGCCTCATCTCAAACATTGTCAGTTTCACAGTCTTAATATTTTTGGTGGTCTGAATTCTGCATAAGACGTTTCTTTAAGAAAATTATTGTTGTAAAAAATATACTGATAATATTAGGAGACAATGGCTGGTAGTTTTTAAGCAAGTAAGAATTCTGAAAATTTGAATGTAAGGGATCAGGCAAAACAGCAGTTGAATGATACTTTAACTACACAAATTTGGCAGAGAAATGCAGTACCAACTGTAATTCCAACTGGTGATCCTAGTGTAGCAAACGAGGAGAAGATATTTTAAGTATTACAAATAATGATATAAACTTAATAATGGTATTCTTTATAAATGTCCCATAAATCAATGGTTAGTGGCATATTAGTCCCTGTATTAAAGCAGTTCTCCCTTTCTATCTACGGCTCTGGACCTTATCTTCAGCTTAGAAAAAGTCATACTTCAAAGGTTTCTGTATCCCAGTATTTAGTGGAATGGAAGTTTTAGCTTCTGAAATGTAAATTAGTTCAGTTGAGAAAGGAAGACCCTAAATTCTCTGGGCTTACTATGTGGTATTCTTATTTTACATTTGAAATTAGGTATATAATCTTATTTTTTAAATGCCAGAGCAACAGTATTTGAACATTTAAAATTCATAATTTATTTTTTTAAATTTCAAACAGTGGTATAATATATAGCATTTATTAGTTCTATATCATTTTATTTGCTTCTGTAAGTGAAATAACAGTAAATGTATAGTTAATTCCTTGAGTCTCAAAGGTTTGAGAAAAGTTTGTTCACTTGCTTCATTGCTAAGGAATGACTGGTGGAGAAATAATGTGTAAACAGTGGCAAGTAACTGTCTCACACTTGCTTGTGCCTCGATAGCTTGGCTCTTGAATCCTGAAATGGGTCCGTGAGAGGCTAGGTTTTTATAACATGGTAAGACATTTTTACTAAAAATACAGATTATCATTTACTTTATTGTGATCACTTCTTAAAGTTAGTTTTTTTCTTTCTGTCGTATATGCATATGATTAATTCCTTTCTGTATTTTCCCAATGCTTATTAAATAGGAATTCTATATTGTATTCAAGAAGTGTGCTTAATAAATTTCTTTCTTGGTGTTTTGCTTGTAAATTAATTGACTTTTGACACACTAGTGAAAATGAGTAATAAAGGGAATTCAATTGGTTAACAATAGTATTTCTTTTTAATCTAAAGCACAAAGAAAGTCAGGAATATACCCCTTCTG